TCTGAGCTCTGCCTGGATCCTTCCCTTCTCCAGGGGAACATTCCCGGGGCTCTGAGCTCTGCCTGGATCCTTCCCTTCTCCAGGGGAACATTCCCAGCTCTCCCAGCCTGGCTCCAGAGCCAAGATCCTAATTAAAGGATTTAACCCTTCCTGCTCCCTGCCTTTTCCCATCACAATTCCCACAAGAGCCAAGCAGGATCAGAACAACTCCAGTGTCCCATCCCTGAAGAAATCCCCCTTTTCCCTGTCCTTTCTGCACTTCCAGCTGTGCCAGGAATCCCAAGTAAACCCCATCCTACCCTGCTCAGAGCTCACATTCCCTTTTCCAGCCCTGCCTGGATTATCCTAAGGAACAATCTCAAAGGAATTCTTTTTTCTGATGGACCGATCATTTTTGATTCCCTTTCCAAAGCCATAGGAAATCCTTTCATCAAATTTTCAGGGCATTCTCCAAGCGGGATAAAACCACTTGGAGAATTTAACAGGAAAATAAATTCAGTAATTACATAAATAAAAATAATATTTAGGGATAAATCTTGTTTTCATTGACTAACCCTTGGAGCTGTAAGGGATTCTTGCCAGGAATTGTCATTAATTTTCCCTAATTAAAAGAAATTCCTAAAAGGAATCATTAAAGACCCATCAGTAACGAGAAGTAGCTAAAAGAAAAACCATGGATTTTCCCAAAATAATCAAATTATACCCCATGGATGCATCTCCTGGAAACACCCCTGAGAGCAAAAAAGCTGGAAATCCTTTTAATTATTCTTTGGGATAATGTTGGAGCTGGATGCAGGTGAGGCAGACATGATCCAGGGAAAGCAAAGGCACTGGACAACATTTTTGGGGATTCAGGAATTCCCAAAATTTGGGGGGTGGAGGGGGAAGGGCTGGGTTTATTTTAGATTTTGGGATTTAGATTTTTTGGGGATTTTTTTGGGGGGTTATTTCATTATTCTGAGCCAGTCCCAGATCTCCTCCCTCCCTTTGCTGAAGCAATCCTGGATGTGAGAACAGCTCCAGGAGCAGCTCCCTGTGCCTCTCCCCAATCCCTGCCAGGAGCTGCCCCCAGGAATAATCCAGGAAATATTCCCAAATCCCGCTGGGCAGGGAAGCTCTGGAGCCGCAGGAATCCTGATCCCTCAGCTCCCAGCTTCCCATGGATTTATTCCCTCATCACCTGGGACTTCAACCCTTTGATGTCCCTGCTGAAGTCACACCAAATATCCCTGGATTCGCGGTTGGTTTTCCTTCCAGAGGCTCTAGTTAATCCCAAAAACATCACCAGGTGATTCCCTGGCCTCCCCATGGGAATATCTCCATTTATTCTATCCCTGACCCCATGGTTTGGGGTGGGAAAGGCACTTTTGGAATGTTTAAACCGTGCCTGGCACTCCCTGCTCCAGGGATCTCCTGCAGAACATGGAAAACCACGGGAAAGAATTCCTGCACAGGGGCCTTGGCACACGCCAGCAGGAATTTTAGGGGTCAAAGCAGCAGAAAATGTGGGAATCTCCTCATTGGAGGTATCCGGGCTCAGGAGGAGAACTGAACCTTTTGATTTTCCTGCAAAGGGAACAATGAAAGTTCAGAGGAACGGCCCGGAAAACTTCCAAACTCCCCTGGGAAAATGTGTTCCCTAAAAAACTTCCGAGGCAAGGAAAACAGTCCTGGGGGAATGGAAAAGACAGGAAAAATGGGAATGGGCATTCCCAGGATGGGCTGTGGGCACCAGAGGGACCCTGGGGGTGATTCCCACCCCTAAATCCAGGAATTGGGACACATCAGGAGTCCAAAGCCATTCCCAGCGTCCTTTCCACCCATTCCTCATTTCCCACTTTTCCATCCCAAGGGCAGTGACCGGCTGCGTTTCCCTCAGAGCTGCGGCTCACACCTATCCCAGCAGGAATATCTGCATTTTCTGCAGGACATGGAATTTCCCTCCCACAGACCCAGAATTCCAGCTGGAACTTGCAAGTCCATGATGTCACCATTCCCAAAACGTCTTAAAACTGATGCTTAATCTTATTTTTTAATAAATTCACTTCGTTTCTCCCATAAAAGAATGCTTAAAATATATGGAATTTCAGAGGGATAACCCCCCCAAAAATATAAAATATTAAATATTTAATATTAAAATATTCAATGCAGCAAAAATTAAAATATGTATTATTAAAATATTAATATATTAATATTACAAATATTTTAATATTTATTTAATATTAAAATATTCCATGCCGCAAAAAAAAAATATCCCAGAACACCCAGCAAGGTTTCCCCAATTTATAAAAATTCCATTTAACTCATGACTTGCAGGCCAGCTAAAGCAGGAGCTCCGTGAAGGAATGACAGCACAAATGGAGGAATTTTTTGGGGTTTTTTTGGGAAGAGAAAAGGAAGGAAAACAGGAATTACCCTAAAGGACATTTCAAGATTCTCGCCACCCCAGATATCCATTCCTGCATCGTAAGTTCCTATCTCTTCAAAGTAGCTCCTGTCAATAGAAAAGAGGCCACCAGCCATAGTTGGGGTCCTGGGTGGAAGACAAACAGGAAAAAAACAAAGGAAAAGAGAAAAGGAAAAAAAAAGAAAAGAAAAGAAAAAAAAAGAAAAGAAAAGAAAAGAAAAAAAAAAAAAAAGGGAGAAAGGAAAGGGGAAAAAAAAAGAAAAGAAAAAAAGAAAAAAGACCTTTTAAAGGACACTCTGGAATTTACAGCACATTTCACCACACAGGAATTCTATGGAAAACAACTAGAAAAGGAGAATTTTAATGGAATGTTCCCTGCTCGTCCCCAAAACCCATGGAGCTCAGGCCCAGCCATACCCCAAGGAAAAATAAAGATAATTTTAACTGGATTTTCCCTGCTTTTCCCCAAAATCCATGGATCTTAGGCCCAGCCACACTCCAAGGAGCAATAAAATAAATTTTGACTGAAATTCCCTACTCTTCCCTCAGAGCTCGGGCCCAGCCACACTCCAGGGAGGAATAAACACAATTCTAACTGGATTTTTCCTGCTTTTCCCCAAAATCCATGGACCTCAGGCCCAGCCACACTCCAGGAAGCAATAAACACAATTTTAATTGGATTTTTCTGATTTTCCCCAAAATCCATGGACCTCAGGCCCAGCCACACTCCAGGGAGGAATAAACACAATCTTAACTGGATTTTTCCTGCTTTTCCCCAAAATCCACAGATTTTGGGCCCAGCCACACTCCAGGCTCGCTCCCATTCCCATGGATTATTTCAGGGGAATTGTGAGGGTGAAGTGGGTGGGATTTGGGTCCCCTGGGTGAGCAGCAGCCCAAATCCAGTCGGGAATGCTTGGGAGGAGTTGCATGGGAATAAAAAGGACTTTTTAAAGGACACTCTGGAATTTACAGCACATTTCACCGCACAGAAATTCTATGGAAAACAACTAGATAAGGAGATTTTTAAACTGGATTTTCCTGCTTTTCCCCAAAATTCATGGAGCTCAGGTCCAGCCACACTCCAGGGAGGAATAAAGATGATTTTAACTGGATTTTCTTTTCATTGATTTTTCTCCAAAATCCATAGAGTGACCCTTGGGAGGCAAAGATCCAGGCAGAGCTCAGAGCCCCGGGAATGTTCCCCTGGAGAAGGGAAGGATCCAGGCAGAGCTCAGAGCCCCGGGAATGTTCCCCTGGAGAAGGGAAGGATCCAGGCCCTGCCAGAGGGCAGAGATGGGTGGGAGATTGGGAATTGGGAATTCCTGGCTGGGCTGGAATTCCCAGAGCAGCTGGGGCTGCCCCTGGATCCCTGGCAGTGCCCAAGGCCAGGTTGGCACCTTGGGATAGGGAAGGTGTCCCTGCGTGGATGGGAAGGGATTTAAGGTCCTTCCCAATCCAAACATTCTCATTCCTCCTTCTTCCTTCCCCTGCCTGGAGACATTCTTTGCTTCATACAAAATTCCCCATTTTTTCCAAGTGTGAGCCTTAAGCGAATTTTGAAGGATGAAACTGAGCTGGATTCTTCCAGAGAACCCCAAATGTCCTTTTGCTTTCTGAAACCAGACTCTTCCCAAATCCCTCCCTAACAACCCTGGCAGTGCCGAGTTTCCCACTGGGAATTTCAGGAACTCGTGCCCCGCTCCCCAGCCCGGCTCCTGGGACAAGGGGAGTGCAGCAGGCAGGATGAAATTCCCTGGGCTGGGAATTTAATGGGACACAACCAGACCTGCAGAGCTTTCCTTGGAAAACCACCTCCACCAAAATACCAGGAAGATCAAAGGCCTTAAAGTGGTTTTTAAACTGTAAAAATAAATTGTTTTCCTCAGTTCTGTGTCTTTTCCCTGTGGAATCACCTGACAGCTCCTGGGAATTGCTGGGACTGGCTCTCCTCATCACCTGCTCCTGTTTTATTTGGGAAAATAAATATTTCATCCTTCCCACTCCTGCAGCTCCCAGCAGGATTCCCGTTCCTGCACAGAAAACACGGGAGCAATCCCAGGTTTGCTGCATCCCAGAAAAGCCTCAGCCCATCCCAGGATTTCATGATGGGACAAAAAGGGGTTGGCAAAGGGATTCCAGCGTGGCGTCACCTCATCCTGCTGTTCCCAAGGAATCCCATCCCAAAGGGCACAAACTCCTACTGAAGCAGACCTCAGGGGATTCATCTGGGAATAAAGGATTGGCACCAGGATCAGCATCAATCCCAGCTCTGCACCGCCCGGGCAGGGCTCATTAACTGCAATCAGCGCCGAGTTTAATTATTCATAATCGAGATATTAATATTTTATCAAGATAATAAGTAATGTACCAGCAATATCCAGAATTCCGGGAGCATTTGGAAAATGTTCCCAGGCACAGGGATTTGGGGATGGTTTTGGGATGTCTTGCAGGGCCAGGGGTTGGGTTGATGGTCCTTGTGGGTCCCTTCCAGCTCAGGAAATTCCATGATCCTAACACATTCCTGATATTTAATCTTGTCTTTT